GTCAATGTTGCCTTTATATAGTAAGGGGGTTGAATAAATGAGTTAGTCTTGCAGATAGAGAGGGATTGCGTATCTTGCGTGAATGCTGTGCATTCAACCTCTGGAAACACCAGGATTGTGGGTTCAATTTCTGCATGGATCACATAACCTACACACACTCAAAATATATGCATGCACTAACTACTGTAAGTGGCTTTGGATAACAGCGTCTGCTAAGTAGCATGTGTTATAGTATTATTAACCCCCTTTGTAAACCTTTTAACACTGTACGGATAAGCAGTGAGAGTGATTTCATCTACACCATTATTTAAGAACTATAATTTTGAATCATCGCATACTTTTCTGTCACCAATGTCAAATAAATGTCCCATAGCTTCTACATAAAAGGCCTACATCTTGGCTAGAGAAGCTTGTATCTACGACCAGACCCAAACGTTAGGCTATTTCAACTTATTCCTTCCGTTGTTTACATCTCTATTTTTGGTCTGGCTGAAAAATCATTGAAATTGCAGAAAAGCAGATGCACACAGGGCATCGTTCCAAAGTGGGAATATGTGTTTTTCTTTCATTCTTGTTTTATGGTATGATGACGTGTGCTCTCAATGCAAAAAAATAAAAAAAATAAGACAAAAAACTTGAGCATGCACTCCCCCAAAGTCAATACTTTAAGAGCTACCTTTTGCAGCAATTACAGCTGCAAGTCTCTTGGGGTATGTCTTTATAAGCTTGGCACATCTAGCCACTGGGATTTTTGCCCGTTCTTCAAGGCAAAACTGCTCCAGCTCCCTCAAGCTGGATGGGTTTTGCTGGTGTACAGCAATCTTTACGTCATACCACAGATTCTCAATTGGATTGAGGTCTGGGCTTTGACTAGGCCATTCCAAGACATTTAAATGTTTCCCCTTAAACCACTCGAGTGTTGCTTTAGCAGTATGCTTAAGGTCATTGTCCTGCTGGAAGGTGAACCTCCGTCCCAGTCTCAAATCTCTGGAAGAGTGAAAGAATTTCCCTGTATTTAGCCCCATCCATCATTTCTTAAATTCTGACAAGTTTCCAAGTCCCTGCCGATGGAAAAACATCCCCACAGCATGATGCTGCCACCACCATGCTTCACTGTGGGGATGGTGTTCTCGGGGTGATGAGAGGTGTTGGGTTTTTGCCAGACATAGAGTTTTCCTTGATGGCCAAAAAGCTCAATTTTAGTCTCATCTGACCAGAGTACCTTCTTCCATATGTTTGGGGAGTCTCCCACATGCCTTTTGGCGAACACCAAACGTGTTTGCTTATTTTATTATTTATTTATTCATTATCATTTTTTGAATCAAGTAATTTTTTTTCATTTCACTTCACCAATTTGGACTATTTTGTGTATATCAATTACATGAAATCCAAATAAAAATCCATTTCAATTACAGGTTGTAATGCAACAAAATAGGAAAAACGCCAAGGGGGATAAATACTTTTTCAAGGCGCTGTATAGGACTGAGAGAGGCCTGTCCAGTAGACCTAATGGGCCTACTAGGTTCTATGAGAAGCCAGCACATATCGGCGGAACACTTGACCCGTTTGGAGCTCAGACCAGTTCCACCTAGCCTCATCATGAGCAATAATCTCCTATGTGTCACTTTCTAGTGTAACTAGGCTAACCATTACAGGCACATCCCGAGGCTGCAGAGCTGGTGTGAGGAATGCCTACACTCTTAAGCTGTCGGCATGCTTCAGTTCGGCTGGCACCTAGCTGAGCTCGGCTAGGCGAACCAATCGAGTGTGCTTGAATACTCCCTTAAAAGACCTTCGCTTGAAAAACGTGAAAAAAGTGGCAATAATACTGTAATTTCAAAATAGTCAGTATTCATCTAAGGTAATTCAAGAAATCTCTCATTCATTTTGACATTTTTTGTAGAAGAACTCTTTGTCACGCAATTTTGCATCTGACTAGGATGTTTGGTGCAGTATTTCCCTAGTGAAAATTTTTGCATGAGGACGAGTCGTCTCGCATTGAATGACAACAGGCACTTCATTGAAGAATCCCTACCAATCGCCGATGAGGGGGCATAGACTAATGCTACTGACTTCGGCTTGCCCTGATAATTTTTTTTAATGAGAACGTTACATCTCATACAAATGAAATGATGAAAAGCCCAATAAGTTTGAAGAGAAGTGTCTTAGCGATTGCGATTTGACCTGCGATATACATTGGGGAGAACAAGTATTTGATACACTGCCGATTTTGCAGGTTTTCCTACTTACAAAGCATGTAGAGATCTGTAATTTTTATCATAGGTACACTTCAACTGTGAGAGAGGGAATCTAAAACAAATATCCAGAAAATCACATTGTATGATTTTTTAAGTAATTAATTTGCATTTTATTGCATGACATAAGTATTTGATACATCAGAAAAGCAGAACTTAATATTTGGTACAGAAACCTTTGTTTGCAATTACAGAGATCATACATTTCCTGTAGGTCTTGACAAGGTTTGCACACACTGCAGCAGGGATTTTGGACCCACTCCTCCATACAGACCTTCTCCAGATCCTTCAGGTTTCGGGGCTGTCGCTGGGCAATACGGACTTTCAGCTCCCTCCAAAGATTTTCTATTGGGTTCAAGTCTGGAGACTGGCTAGGCCACTCCAGGACCTTGAGATGCTTCTTACGGAGCCACTCCTTAGTTGCCCTGGCTGTGTGTTTCGGGCCGTTGTCATGCTGGAAGACCCAGCCACGACCCATCTTCAATGCTCTTACTGAGGGAAGGAGGTTGTTGGCCAAGATCTCGCGATACATGGCCCCATCCATCCTCCCCTCAATACGGTGCAGTCGTCCTGTCCCCTTTGCAGAAAAGCATCCCCAAAGAATGATGTTTCCACCTCCATGCTTCACGGTTGGGATGGTGTTCTTGGGGTTGTACTCATCCTTCTTCTTCCTCCAAACACGGCGAGTGGAGTTTAGACCAAAAAGCTCTATTTTTGTCTCATCAGACCACATGACCTTCTCCCATTCCTCCTCTGGATCATCCAGATGGTCATTGGCAAACTTCAGATGGGCCTGGACATGCGCTGGCTTGAGCAGGGGGACCTTGCGTGCGCTGCAGGATTTTAATCCATGACTGCGTAGTGTGTTACTAATGGTTTTCTTTGAGTCTGTGGTCCCAGCTCTCTTCAGCTCATTGACCAGGTCCTGCCGTGTAGTTCTGGGCTGATCCCTCACCTTCCTCATGATCATTGATGCCCCACGAGGTGAGATCTTGCATGGAGCCCCAGACCGAGGGTGATTGACCGTCATCTTGAACTTCTTCCATTTTCTAATAATTGCACCAACAGTTGTTGCCTTCTCACCAAGCTGCTTGCCTATTGTCCTGTAGCCCATCCCAGCCTTGTGCAGGTCTACAATTTTATCCCTGATGTCCTTACACAGCTCTCTGGTCTTGGCCATTGTGGAGAGGTTGGAGTCTGTTTGATTGAGTGTGTGGACAGGGGTCTTTTATACAGGTAATGAGTTCAAACAGGTGCAGTTAATATAGGTAATGAGTGGAGAACAGGAGGGCTTCTTAAAGAAAAACGAACAGGTCTGTGAGAGCCGGAATTCTTACTGGTTGGTAGGTGATCAAATACTTATGTCATGTGGCTGGGTCTTCCAGCATGACAACGGCCCGAAACACACAGCCAGGGCAACTAAGGAGTGGCTCCGTAAGAAGCATCTCAAGGTCCTGGAGTGGCCTAGCCAGTCTCCAGACTTGAACCCAATAGAAAATCTTTGGAGGGAGCTGAAAGTCCGTATTGCCCAGCGACAGCCCCGAAACCTGAAGGATCTGGAGAAGGTCTGTATGGAGGAGTGGGCCAAAATCCCTGCTGCAGTGTGTGCAAACCTTGTCAAGACCTACAGGAAATGTATGATCTCTGTAATTGCAAACAAAGGTTTCTGTACCAAATATTAAGTTCTGCTTTTCTGATGTATCAAATACTTATGTCATGCAATAAAATGCAAATTAATTACTTAAAAATCATACAATGTGATTTTCTGGATATTTGTTTTAGATTCCGTCTCTCACAGTTGAAGTGTACCTATGATAAAAATTACAGATCTCTACATGCTTTGTAAGTAGGAAAACCTGCAAAATCGACAGTGTACCAAATACTTGTTCTCCCCACTGTAGATCAAAACCTTTGGGTGAACCGTTGGAATCATAGAAATAACATGATTTATATTAAGAAGCAAATGGGAAAGCGGCATTATTATTGTTAGAACAATCTGTTGACTGCATTTGACCTAACAGAAGAGCATGCAACTGTTCCGCAAGAGGAGTAAAGAATGGAGTAAACTATAAAAACGGACATGCAATAAAAAAAATGCATGCGAAATGGATTTCTTGCAATATGGATATTTTTGAATGTGAATTAGAATAATTGTACAGCCCAACATGCAATAACCTACATCCAATCGTGTTAAAATGTGACAATTCTAAAGTTTCCCAGAGCTTTTGTGTTTAGTCTGAAAAAGACTTCAAGCCAGACAACCAGACATGCTGATTTAGCTTTCTCAAAAGAAACACAAGCAACATCTTTCAAGAAGAGCTTAGTGCATTTTTCCCTCTTTCTTACTTCCTGTTCTTCTTCTGACCTCTGCCTCCCTTATACAGCTAACTGCTGCTTGACATAGTGTGTCAGAACACAGCCAAGGCCTTATTATTAGTTCCCTCAGAATGAACTAGTGTTTACCTGTAATCCTGTGGATTTGCCCCAGGTGACCCTGGCCTGTGCCTTTCTCAGTGGGCTCTGATCCCACTAAGGCCTACAGGACCTGTCAGTCAGCTCAGGGGCAGGGTAAGGGGGCCCGCCGCCCTAAGCCCACCTAGTACACTTGAGGGCAAAACACTGCTGTGCTAGGGTCTTTGAAAAACATGTCAACTGTTTCACTCAAAACCTCAGATCATAGCCATACATTGAGGTTTTACAACACAGAAAAATACAATATCAACATTTACTCAATACTTCCTAGTTATGAGAAAGTTCAACGTAGGTTAAGTCCTCCATAAGTCAGAGGTGTTACTGTACACAGCACCAGTCTGTTTCATGCCATACTGTAGCTCAGCTGGTAGAGCACGGCGCTTGTAACGCCAAGGTAGTGGGTTCGATCCCCGGGACCACCCATACACAAAAATGTATGCACGCATGACTGTAAGTCGCTTTGGTTAAAAGCGTCTGCTAAATGGCTTATTATTATTATAATTATTATTATTATTATTATAATTATTATTATTATTATTACTGGAATGTTGTTCTTAGAAACCTGGCATGTTTGGTCAACTTTGCTAAAGGCCTATATATACGCTAGCTTGCACCGTGTGAGTTGAAGCTTTTTGCTTTTGAACATTCTAACCTCATACAAGGCCACAGGGTTAGGACGGCGTAAATATTGTTGTTTCTATCTCTCTCTCTCTCTCACACACACACACACACACACACACACAAGAGTATTGCTAGAACAAACACACAGCCCTTGACCCAGATCCTCAGGTCCCAGGGAGCCTGGAAAGAGCCTTGGGTGTGTGTGTGTGAGGTATTTTTATCAGGTGTAGGGTTGCCTCACCATGAAGGCTGGGCCGTGAGGGAGGACGGGCTGGGCTGCTCCAAGGGTAACCAGTCTCTGACAACATTTTATTTATTTATTTTATTTAACCTTTATTTAACCAGGTAAGCCAGTTGAGAACAAGTTCTCATTTACAACTGCCACCTGGCCAAGATAAAGCAAAGCAGTGCGATTTAAAAACAACAACACAGAGTTACATATGGGGTAAACAAAACATAAAGTCAAAAATACAACATAAAATATATATACAGTGTGTGCGAATGTAGTAAGTTATGGAGGTAAGGCAATAAATAGGCCATAGTGCAAAATAGTTACAAATTAGTATTAACACTGGAATGATAGATGTGCAAAAGATGATGTGCAAATAGAGATACTGGGGTGCAAATTAGCAAAATAAATAACAATATGGGAGTGAGTTAGTTGGGTGGGCTAATTTCAGAATGGCTGTGTACAGGTGCAGTGATCGGTAAGCTGCTCTGACAACTGATGCTTAAAGTTAGTGAGGGAGATAAGAGTCTCCAACTTCAGAGATTTTTGCAGTTCGTTCCAGTCATTGGCAGCAGAGAACTGGAAGGAATGGCGGCCAAAGGAGGTGTTGGCTTTGGGGATGACCAGTGAGATATACCTGCTGGAGCGCATAATACGGGTGGGTGTTGCTATGGTGACAATGAGCTAAGATAAGGCGGGGATTTGCCTAGCAGTGATTTATAGATGGCCTGGAGCCAGTGGGTTTGGCGACAAATATGTAGTGAGGACCAGCCAACAAGAGCATACAGGTCACAGTGGTGGGTAGTATATGGGGCTTTGGTGACAAAACGGATGGCACTGTGATAGACTACATCCAATTTGCTGAGTAGAGTGTTGGAGGCTATTTTGTAAATGACATCACCGAAGTCAAGGATTGGTAGGATAGTCAGTTTTACGAGGGCATGTTTGGCAGCATGAGTGAAGGAGGCTTTGTTGCGAAATAGGAAGCCGATTCTAGATTTAACTTTGGATTGGAGATGCTTAATGTGAGTCTGGAAGGAGAGTTTACAGTCTAACCAGACACCTAGGTATTTGTAGTTGTCCACATACTCTAGGTCAGACCCACTTAGAGTAGTGATTCTAGTCGGGTGGGCGGGTGCAAGCAGCATTCGGTTGAAGAGCATGCATTTAGTTTTACTAGTGTTTAAGAGCAGTTGGAGGCTACGGAAGGAGTGTTGTATGGCATTGAAGCTCATTTGGAGGTTTGTTAACACCGTGTCCAATGAAGGGCCAGATGTATACAAAACACTGCGACGTTGTTGTTTCAGTCTGCATCCTCACATATTGCCTCTAGAAAGATATTGTGGGGATTCTAGAAATTGCTTCTGACTGTACATAATGTGGTGGATTGGCATAGTAATCGGATCAGTTTTGAATAGATTATAAGCGCAAAAGTAATGGACTGGGTCAGGCAGCAGACCTATCAGCTTGCTGTGAGCTCTTACCAAACTGTTGGAAAAAAACGGCGTTTGACCAAATACAATGCTATTTCTCTGTAAACAAATTAACAACAGACATTCAGCATGCTTACAGAGAAGGGCACAACATGTACTGCACTGACACAAATGACTGATGATTGGTTGAAAGAAATTGATAATAAGAAGATTGTGGGAGCTGTACTGTTAGATTTCCGTGCAGCCTTTGATATTATTGACCATAACCTGTTGTTGAGAAAACGTATGTGTTATGGCTTTTCAACCTCTGCCATATCGTGGATTCAGAGCTATCTATCTAATAGAACTCAGATGTTTTTTTTAAAATGGAAGCTTCTCTAATGTCAAACATGTAAAGTGTGGTATACCGCAGGGCAGCTCTCTACGCCCTCTACTCTTTTCTATTTTTACCAATGACCTGTCACTGGCATTAAACAAAGCATGTGTGTCCATGTATGCTGATGATTCAACCGTATACGCATTAGAAACCATAGCTAATTAAGTCACTGAAACCCTTAACGAAGAGTTGCAGTCAGTTTTGGAATGGGTGGCCAGTAATAAACTGGTCCTGAACATCTCTAAAATGATTGATCTTATCTTGATTATTGTCCAGTCATATGGTGAAGTGCTGCAAAGACCTAGTTAAGCTGCAGCTGGCCCAGAACAGAGCGACATGTCTTGCTCTTCATTGTAATCAGAGGGCTAAAATTGATACTATGCATGCCAGTCTCTCTTGGCTATGAGTTGAGGAAAGACTGACTGCATCACTTCTTGTTTTTATAAGAAACATGAATGTGATGGAAATTCCAAATTGTTTGCATAGTCAACTTACACACAGCACTGACACAAACACCTACCCCACCAGACATGCCACCAGGGTTCTTTTCACACTCCCCAGGTCCAGAACAATACATGGAACTCCCATCTCATATAGCACAAGTGAAACCTGGTTAAAGCAACAACTCACGGCACAATGCCTCTCCCCCTTGTGACCTACTTGTTGTGTGTATGTACTGACATGTATGTGTAACTGATAGATGCACACTACATGTTAATGTTTTTAAATGTACACCATATATACAAAAGTATGTGGACACCCCTTCAAATGAGTGGATTTGGCTATTTCAGCCACACCCGTTGCTGACAAGTGTATAAAATTGAGCACGCAGCTAGCCATGCAATCTCCACAGACAAACATTTGCAGTAGAATGGCCTTACTGAAGAGCTCAGTGACTTTCAACGTGGCACTGTCATAGGATGCAGTGGAAATACGTTCTCTGGAGTGATGCTTCACCATCTGGCAGTCCGACGGACAAATCTGTGTTTGGCGGATTCCAGGAGAATGCTACCTGCATTGTAGTTTGGTGGAGGAGGAATAATGGTCTGGGGCTGTTTTTCATGGTTTGGGCTAGGCCCCTTAGTTCCAGTGAAGGGAAATCTTAACGCTACAGCATACAATGACATTTTAGAAGATTCTGTGCATCCAACTTTGTGGCAACAGTTTGGGGAAGGCGCTTTCCTGTTTCAGCATGGACAATGCCCCCGTGCACAAAGCAAGGTTCATACAGAAATGGTTTGTTGAGATCGGTGTGGAAGAACTTGACTGGCCTGCATAGAGCCCTGACCTCAACCCCATCGAACACCTTTGGGATAAATTGGAACGCCGACTGTGAGCCAGGCCTAATCGCTCAACATCATTGCCCGACCTCACTGATGCTTCCATTCAGCCACAAGAGCAAGTCACTGCAGCATTGTCTCAACACCTAATGGAAAGCCTTCCCTGAAGAGTGGAGGCTGTTATAGCAGCAAAGGGGGGACCAACTCCATATTAATGCCCATGATTTTGGGATGAGATGTTTGATGAGCAGGTGTCCACATACTTTTGATCATTTTGTCTGTAATGTCTTTATCGTTATGTGTCGGACCCCAGTGAGGCTAGCTGTCGCCATTGACGTTGTCTAATGGGGATCCTAATAAATCATTGCCTTTGAGAGCCTCCTCAATTAAAATGTCTCTCTCCACCCCCCCTCTCTCTCTCTCTCTCCAGTAGAGAGGTCCAAGCCCCAGCAGCAGGTGCGTAACTCGGGAGCCATCCGGCGGACTTCTTCCCTGGGTACCATCACCGGCCCCTACCTCACCGGCCATTGGCCTCGCGACCACCATGTGCACTACCCCTCGTTCATGAAAGATAAATCCACTCAGGTAGGTGCCCCCTCACTTCCTGTCCCCCTGTGTCCCCTATGTGTCATGTTTTATCGGGTCCCCCCACTGAGATGAATGAATAACTGTACACTATGCTTTGTGCATTAAAGATAAATCCACTCAGGTAGGTGCCTCCTCACTTCCTGTCCCCCTACCCTATCCTTCATGTGTCACGCTTTGTTCGGTCCCCCTACTGAGATGAATGCATGTGGCATTTCATTCAACGACAAAGACCTGACGATATTCCAGCTAGAATAAACTAGGTTTATTTATAGCTCTGGTTTGCTGATCTGCAGAGTTTGATCAGCAAAGCATGCTAGTTTTGAACTAGCACACTGAGGTGAAGGACAGGGAACTGCTACAGATGTAGGATCTTAATTTGACCTATATTGTCACAGCAAAATAATCCAGCATTAACAGGATTTGAATGTTTACTCCATAATGGTGCTTGATTGGTTTATACATTTACATTTTAGTCATTTAGCAGACGCTCTTATCCAGAGCGACTTACAGTGAATACATATATATATATTTTTTTATACTGGCCCCCCGTGGGAAACGAACCCACAACCCTGGCGTTTCACTGGTCAAAAGTAGGCTACATTGTTGTGCAATACTGTTAATATAACTGTGGGTTTTTAGTGAATTTATGTAAAGCACAAAGCTCATCTGCAAGAACATTAGAGTGATAAAAAAGTGATCAAATTAAGATCCTACATCTGTAAGCAGAAGTGGTTGAGTACTGAGCTGCATCACCATAAGGAAGTGGGCTCTTTCAAATGACTGGTGGCAGTCAAGTTTGTACAGTACTCAGTCACTGATTCACCTGCCCACACAGATATTAGTTAGCCGCTGTTGACCTCTTTCACAGGTCTATACACCCTGTTTCCGCCAGTCAGTGTGGGCCTCTAGCCTTACTATAGATTAACCAGCCTGGCTCTCTGTATTAACCTGCCTGGCCTTCTGTGTATTGAACAAGTAGGCACTGGGTGTCACCGTAGCACAAAGGTGTCATTGTGGAGAACATGCGAGATCCTGTCTGTCTGTGTGACACACGGCTTCTGCTTGTACAGAGCCACGTTGCTGCCAGTCCTGCTGCGGCTGGAATTTTCCCCCTCCTCCTCCTCCTTGTCTTTCTCTTCTCCTGCTCCTCTTACTCCTTCTTCCACTCCTCAACTTTTCCTCGTCATTGTCTGTAATTCTCAGCCATTGGGTCTGTGACCTGGAATGTTCTCCTCCTCTTATTCCTCCTCCTCTTCCTCGCCCTATTCTGTACATTGCTGTGACCTGCAACACCCACACCATCCTGCCAGGTTATGACAGACAGGCCCAAACACAGAGCACTAAGATTATGCCGAGAGATCAAGAAGTATTAGTGTGTGGAAGATTGATTGTGCAGGCTAGTGTGTGTACTGGGCCAGTTTCAAATCTATCCCTCAACCGGACTTTTAATGGACATTCTGCTTTCTGCGTTGAACATGATTTTACAGTGTCAGCCCAATATTCTGGGGTAGATTAGGCCTTTAGTTTTTTATTTCTCTCTCCTCTGGGTCTAGTGCATTAGCCAGTCTCAGTGAGCGTGAGCTAGCAGGGTTATGACACCACCGGAGCCAGTCAGAGTCAGAGATGACATCCCATAATGACCTCCTACATCCTTTTTTTACTGCACTGCTCGGCAACCAGGACCCAATAACCTCTCAGGCCACCCGAACACCATATTGCTAGATCATCCCAGAAACCATATTACTGTATGAATCAACCTGGCAGCCGGTTTACTGTATGAATCAACCTGGCAGCCGGTTTACTGTATGAATCAACCTGGCAGCCGGTTTACTGTATGAATCAACCTGGCAGCCGGTTTACTGTATGAATCAACCTGGCAGCCGGTTTACTGTATGAATCAACCACGTTTCCTTCACTTCAGCTCTTTGTCCACATGCTTGGAAAAATCTGCCACATCTACATGTGCAGTACGGACCTACTCTCCTCCTCGGCCTCGGATCAAGGTTTATCCTTGACTTGTGCCATAAAGACACTGTTCATATGCCAAACGGCCCGAACCCTAACCAACGGAGAAACCTGGAATTTCCCTTTGGAGTAGTAGTTCGTTGACAGAGCACATGCAGGGAAGGTGGACCGACCAGGGATCGGTATGTGGTCACACATTGTCTACTGTAAGAGGAGAGGAGATGCTGTGTGTGTGTGTGTGCGTGTAACTCAGTTTGTGTGTGTGTGTAAGTGTGCTCCCCCTCCTCTTCCCTTAATAGGAAATGAAAATGACGTATGTTCAAAGCTTTCTCTCTCTGTTTCCTGCCTGGCTTGGTGATGGTGTTGAACAGGTTACAGAGACTCCACATATTAATAGAAGAACTCAACTGACCACTTTACAATATTTACTACCACTTCTGGCTACATCACTGGCCTAGCACTTCCATTGGCTCTTACAGTGTATATTCTCTGATGCTCTGATGAAGGCATAACTGCGCTAGCCTGTCCGGGACGAAAATAAAAAGGTGAAATGAGGTGACGTCTTTGTTTAAAAAAAACATTTTGGAGTGCCGCCGTTTCCCAATGTTCTTGAACTTGGGATTTAATTCAAAGTGTACATTCTCGCTCTCTCTCTCTCTCTCTCTCTCTCTCTGCCCTTTTGAAAGCAGAGACACACAGAGCTAGGACTATTCTTTATCACAGTACACACTCGATTTAATCCCTGTCTGATGCCTGCCATTTGTTGAGAGCCCTTCTCTCTTTTCTCCTTTTTACGCTTGTCTTTCTCCTCCTTTCCTCTCTCAGCTCCAGTAGCAGGTCAGACCAGGGGTAACCAAGGGGACGAAGCGAGGGCTTATTTTTTCTGTCTCTCTCTCCAGTTGACATAATAACTTATTCATCACAGTAGCCTTAGCTGAGGCTGTGGCATTTAGGGACCTCTCCTTGTGCTGTTGTGCACTGACACACACTAGTTGAAGCTCCATTTTTAGATCTTGTTATACATGATGTATACATATCAAGGCGTCCATGTCAAACCTAACACTTGGGAAGGGCAAAATCTGAAATGGCAAAGTAGAGCACTGTTTAGGCTGGGGGCAAAAGCTGCAGTCTTTCATTCCCTACCATGATGATCATGATGATTGACATGGCTAATGAGGATAAGAGGTTGATAAATAGATCATGATATTATTGGTTGTTTCCTTGTTGTTTCCAGACACCTGGGTGTTGGAGTGAAGAAGCAGGAGAGAGGAGGAGCACACATCAGCGCTCGGCGTCTTGGGGCAGCGCCGACCAGCTCAAAGAGGTATACACTCACTCACGCTTGCATATGCATGCACGACACATGCATACGCACACACACCACACTAAAACATGTCATAAGAAACCCTTCAGAAGAAACTACTACTTGCAGCACTTTCCTAATGACCATTGGGCTGAGGTGTTCTCAAATCAACAATGACAATATATTGTACAGTAGGCCTCCATGTAAAACTTATGAAATCTGCTATCCTAGCACACTGTGCATCCGTATCATTGCTATCATCCTCCTTTAACCCAGACCTAGATTCTGCCATGTTGAGATGGCTTTGAAGTTGACATGACAACTAGAATGACATCAGTCTATAGGAAACTGCCTACCACCTGCCATCGGTCTCTGTCTCTCTCTTGCTCTCCACCAAGTGCCACCTTCTATATATAACTTCCTGTATGACCTCAGACTTCCGCATGCTCAGGACTTGGTCTGTTCTAATGCTGGGTGTCAGAGACGGAGCGTAGGGCCGGGCGGTCGATGTCTTATCATCCCCTCTCAGCTCCACCATGGTGCTATACGGCCACCACCAGGGAGGAGGCAGATAACACTATCTATCTCCCTCGCAACTAACCAGACACGTCCCCTCACAGCAACCAACCGCCAACCCAGCCATAACCCAACAGGCAATTTATGGACAGGAAAGACAGCCAGGCAGGCCTCAGATTCCTCTCTCTCTTTCTTTCATTCTTTCTCTCCCCTTTCTCTCTCTCTCTCTGTTTTCTCTCTCTCTCCATAGTTTAACAGCAGGGAAAGCACCTAAAATAGTCGTGTTCAGGCATGTTCCTTAGTAACTGTAGTGACGCTGCAGTGCAGAGGGATTGAGTTGAAGTCTCCTTCAGTTACACCATGATTGTTTGTAGGGCTATATAACCTCAAAAGAGATCTCAGGGTTGTTAAGCGACTGTAATCCACAGTAATCCTAACCTCATAGACCTCATTATTTACAAACACTTCCTGTCACTTAACTCTTGTTGTGTTCTTATTTCCTCAGCGTTACATAGGATGTACTCGCTCCACTTTCAACCCTGTGAAAGTACTGCCCAGCCCAGCTTAATGTCTTACAACTCACACACGCGCGCACACATACACATACACATACACATACACATACACATACACATACACATACAGCAATACCGCAAGGACAACATGTTTTTTGACTTGCCATGTAACGCTGCCGGACAATGAACACATTCATACTCTGTCACAGCTGCTGACTGGGTTTTCAGTTAGCTACTGTGTACTATATGCACTAGTGGTATGTCATTTGAAGTGAATGGCTGGGAAAGTGCAGGGAGGGGTGGAGTAAGAATATAAGCGCTTGAGTTTGTTTATTTTGGTGCTGGAATAAAGCAGTGGAGCAACGTATTTTATAAAACCTGTTAGGCTGGGTGTTTGTGTTGTGTTTCTATAGTAAAATGACTTTACATTTACGTCATTTAGCAGACGCTCTTATCCAGAGCGACTTACAGTTAGTGAGTGCATACATTATTTATTTTGTATTTTTTCATACTGGCCCCCCGTGGGAATCGAACCCACAACCCTGGCGTTGCAAACGCCATGCTCTACCAACTGAGCTACATCCCTGCCGGCCATTCCCTCCCCTACCCTGGGCCAATTGTGCGCCGCCCCATGGGTCTCCCGGTCAAGGCCAGCTACGACAGAGCCTGGATTCGAACCAGGATCTCTAGTGGCACAGCTAGCACTGCGATGCAGTGCCTTAGACCACTGCGCCACTCGGGAGATAGACTTGCTGGAAGAAGATCAAGGACAGTTTGTGTAAATGCATTGTGAAACAATCATTGTACTATAGAAACACAACACAAACACCCATCCTAGCAGGTCCTTATCAAAGGAGGCTCTGTCTGAATGGACGGGCTGATATGTGATCCACTTTCTTTAGCCATCATGGACCTGGTGCACTCAACAGTTAGTCAGCTTTCCAGATAACTCAAGAATCAGTAGGTGATATCCTCTGCCAAATCTCTCCTATGATGCTGAGTCCAAAATAAAGATAGTAAAGAAAAACAAAGGCTACATGTATTGTAAAATATGTTGCTCCACTGCTTTATTCCAGCACCAAAATAAACAAACTCCAACACAATGCATTTCACAATGCATTTACACAAACCGTCCTGTATCTTCTTCCACCAGAGCATGTACTTTATCTTCTTCCACCATAGCATGTACTTTATCTTCTTCCACCATAGCATGTACTTTATCTTCTTCCACCATAGCATGTCCGTTATCTTCTTCCACCATAGCATGTACTTTATCTTCTTCCACCATAGCATGTCTGTTATCTTCTTCCACCATAGCATGTACTTTATCTTCTTCCACCATAGCATGTCCGTTATCTTCTTCCACCATAGCATGTCCGTTATCTTCTTCCACCATAGCATGTCTTGCTGGTGTAAAAGGTGACCTGTGTTGTGCTACTATAGTGAAATGACTGAGCCTACAATTACTTCTGTGTAAAGGCGCAGGGAAAATAACATGTCTGGGCTTGTCCTGGCTAGTAGTGAGATGCTGCATACATAATAAGAATAAGATGGCTACCATGTGGCAAGCAACTGTTTATCTGATTTGACATTAACTGTACTGTGCTTCTATCTGATATACAAAGGGCCCCACTTGTCTGAGAGTTCAAAAGGCTATTTTGGCAATTGGAACTTTCCTCTGTGGGCTAATATGGATGCAAAATTATAAAGACAAAGATTTGGGTCAAAGATATACCTAGAGCCACACAGACAGGTGTTCTAGCCCTTTGTCCTTATTGGTCAGAGCACAGGGGATTCTCAAACCAGATAAGGAAGCCAATACACAGATAGGAACGTCTGTGGGTCTTTCAAAGGTGTGAACGACACCATGCAAATGAAATACATTATCTATATCGTAAATGGCCTTTTAAGATGTGTTTGCATACTCAAATTGACCCAGTCTGTGTGCGCGTTACGTTTTATGGATCTTCCTTTAGCTTTTATTTCACACTATCTCTTTTAGATGTACATCGGGACTGCACAGCTCCAGCTCTACATGTGATCTGATGCATTCATTACTGGAGCTGCCTGCCTAGGGGCTTTTCCCTGAGCTATGGCGACCCCTGGTGGATATATTGGGTTATGTCAAAAACATGTGAAAAGATGAAATAGACAAAGAAGTTAATCTGTTAACATGTTACTATTCCTTTCTCTCATTTCTCTCTTTGTCTCCTGTCTTTCTCCCTCTCTTCTCCTCTCCCTTTCTCCACTTCCTCCTCCTCTCTTCCTCCTCCCTCTGTTCTCCTCAGCAGATAGCCAAGCTCCGGCAGCAGCTGCGTGGCAGCAGTAAGCAGCAGCAGGGAGGTCGTCAGTCTCAGTGTCAAAGAGACAAAGACAGCCTGTCCCCTTTACAGGGACCTATCAACACCATCAACACCACGGCCAACCAAGCACAGGTGAGGCACAATACTGCCATCCAAACCTGAGTTCTATACTGGTTATATACTATACATACTGGCCCCCCGTGGGAATCGAACCCACAACCCTGGCGTTGCAAACGCCATGCTCTACCAACTGAGCTACATCCCTGCCGGCCATTCCCTCCCCTACCCTGGACGACGCTGGGCCAATTGTGCGCCGCCCCATGGGTCTCCCGGTCACGGCCAGCTACGACAGAGCCTGGATTCGAACCAGGATCTCTAGTGGCACAGCATAGCTCAGCAAAATGGTGTGTGTGATTTAGCTTGTTTGGCGGAGTGGAACCAATGCAATCGGCCCAAAATTTCAAACTCTGCACCCCCGCCAACCCAACACGCCAGGGAAGCTAAATCACAAAAACTCTGCGCTTCTTATAATATGTGTAAGGTGGAGGTTTCATTTTTGAATGTCTCTCTCTGCGGTTGTGTCCCTGGATCCTGCAGTGGTCCTGCATGTCTAAGTCATCTCAGATGTCCAACATGACGGTACCCAAGCCCTCCATCACCAGAGTGCCCAGCAGCATGGAGGGAATCAACCACGAGCTGGAGAAGGTCTTCATCAGAGACAACAACGGAGAGAAGGAAGAGCTCAAGGTGAAGGACGGACTGTTAGACATATACCATCACATATTTCAACCTGGTCTCAGAGTATTTCGTATTATTCGCGTTATACGCCCAGAAATCCACTCCGACCAACCACCCTCCTTTCGTTTTTTGCCTTAAGTAACCTTCTATCTTATGTTACCATACCAAATGTAACATATCATACTCATTTGAGTGTCCCGGATTTGCCTTTACTATGTTACGTGTAGTCTATGAGACCAGGCTGCATATTTACACTCTCAGTCAAGGGTGACTTCAGTCAGGGTCATGTGTCTGGAGGTGACAGAGGAGTAGACACGCACACAAACGCAACCACTCATTCACCTGTTGTGTCACTGGCAATCCTATTACTTCCAAATATTTACTGAGGAACATCTTGCTCTCTCTCCCGCTATCTCTCGTTCTGTATTTTTCTTCACCCCCCTCCTCCCTCAACCCCCGCCCTCCCCAGGTGTTGGAGGTACCAGATGGGCGGCGAGCCCCCTTTCCCCCCCAGCAGCGTAGCAGTAGTACCCGTAGCGTGGACACACAGACCCCCTCTGCCCCCGGCCGCTCCAGCAGTAGTTCCAGCCTGTCCCCCTGTCCCTCTCCCGCCTGCCCCCCGGGGTCCGGCTCACACGGGGGGAGCCCTTACTCCACCGACGATCTGCTCTACGACAGGGATAAAGGTAGGACTGTCAGGATTCCCTCTCAGACCAAGGGCAAGGCCTCCATTGTCCATTGGACATCCTGCTGTTGTGCCCTTGAGCAAGGCTCTGAACTCCCAACGTGGACTGTGTTTGTGTCTTGTCCGGGGGGTTGGCAGTAGAGCATAAGGCAAATGTAATCTTATTTTCTGACCGTTTCTGACCATTGTCTCTGTCTCTCTGTCTACAGACAGTGGCAGTAGCTCTCCGCTGCCTAAGTTTGCCTCGTCTCCTAAACCCAACAACAGCTACATGTTCAAGAGAGAACCCCCAGAGGGCTGTGAGAAGATCAAGGTGTTTGAGGAAATTAGGTAATTACAGCAAGAGACCAGGGACCTGGTACAGGAGGGTTTGATTAGATTTTTTAGGATCTCTTTTATCGCACCAAATTTCACATGTCCTTGATACTGAACGTCAGTTACGTTTACATGTCATGAAAAGAGTTAAAACGTTGTCTCTTACTTTTCTCTTTGTCTGTCCAGCTCCAGGCAGTCAGCGTCCGTCCCTCTCTTCTCCTGCCCCGACAAGAACAAGGTCAACTTCATCTCCACCGGCTCCGCCTTCTTCCCCGTCAGACTGACCCCCGGTGCCCAGCACCTCTCTGTGACCTCTCACCCCGACGACGACCCCGAGGCCGGCCCCAGCTCAATGATGTCAGCATTCTGCCGCGTCCTCCCCTCTCAGGTCCACACCTCCACCAGCACAGATGACGCTCCCACCCCTGAGGAGGCTGCCCCTGCAATGCCCACCTCCCCCCAGCAGGGGGAGACACCAGAGACTGCCCTCCAGACAGACAGCCTGGCCATCAGCTAGACCTGGGCAGAGCTGGCCTCTGTCACATGGTTCTGGTTCTTATTGTTATTAATAATATTATTATTACGCCCCCACTATCATCATCATCATCACAGTCCGGTCTCCTTCGCTAAAGGACCTCCCCCTCCTCTTCTCTCTGTCTCTACTGAACTCTACACACTGCATGGCGTAGCGCTAGCAACAATGTACCTGACGACAACAACAACAAACAACTGAGAAAACAAAGACAAGTGTCCCACATGTTCCTAGCGTATTCCTAAAGCACTGTTCCTGTCAGGGATAGACATGATGATCTTTAACAGCACGTAATAAGTAGAGATATTGGACGCTGGCATTGGATGGATGGGAAGAAAATTAGACACTTTGGATAAGGGGCATGCATTTTAAACTTGTAGTGTGTTTAAGATTAAAGACATGCTCCGGTACTTTGCAGACTAAAAGTATTTTTTAAACCTCCCGCTTTGGGATGGATGTGTCAATATGTAGTTCATACATGCATAATCTATGAGCAGAATTACTGTCTTACCTCAATTAGCCACGAAATTCCTAGTTTGAAAGCCACTGTTTTCTTGAAACTGTGCCGCGCCATTTTCTCTACATTTCCCCCTACATAGGCCAGCCAGCCCCCTAGCAATTCGAGTTCTAGCCAATGAGCTTCAGCCCCTCACATTTGAATGACAGCTAGCAGGAGGCCTGCCCAGCGTTATCCAATGAGGTTGCAGGGTGGGCCTTTCGGGGACTACTTTTGGCTCATGAGTGCTACTTTCAGAAATACTGGCTAAAAAGTATACAAAAGTACCAGAGAATCTCTTTAACTTATGTGTTATTGTGTTCTGTTTTGACATTCTCCACAGTATGAATAAGCTCTATACACCATATTACACATATTATATATCTTAGGAAAAGAAAGAAAAGAAAAAAACAACGCTTGTTTAATTAGAAAACGGTGTATTGCTGTGTTATGTTATGTACAGTAACAGAGAAAGGAGAAAGAAGAATATTCAGGATTTATGTTTACACAATCCAGGTTATGTTTCCAAACCTTTGAAACATGCAAAGAATAATCAAAAAAGTGGGGAAAAAGACATGGACATAAAGAAGAAAATTCAAAATGGCCACAACAATCTGTTGCACAGTGTCCATTGCGTCTGGCCTTGCTTCAGGTATATATCACAAACGGAGTCTAAACTCAGGAAATTTGGAATGTATGCCCATATTCCATGACACAGATTGACTCAGCTCAGACTACATTTCCTCGTTGAAGCAGAAGAGATCGCTCTATTTCCTTTGCTTTCTCTCATTCCAGATTCCATTCCAGAAATTCTGAACCTTTTATTCCCCCTAGACATTCCATGGTGTTATGATGTGCTGTCCCAAGACTTGACCTGTGCTTGGCTGACATGAGAGGGCAGAGGGCAGAGGTTAAAGGTTGACTGTGTTAGGCGTCTTGATTGTCTTTATGAGTGACAGACCAGGCCCAGTGTGAGAGATAACGGCTGTGCAAAGTCTATAATGGCTATGACTGTCAACGCCTGACAGTTCTGTGTGGTCGGACTCTCTGCAGCCGTTGTGCTGTGGTCAAGGTCAGGTAGCAACTTCAGTGTTCAACTTCAGGTCAGTCTAGGTTGACTGGTCCTAGTCAAGTCATGGCCTGCAGTAACATCACATAAAATAAGCATTTGGTTGGTTACATTCAGGTGTCCAGTCTGAGACCGTTTAAATATCACATAGACAACATAATTATGCTTTACTATTAATTCATAAGACATTCCATGAGATTCTAGCTGGTTAGGGGTTGAGAAGATTCATCAAGTCATGTCCAAACGTTAATCTTTAGGCCCTCCGGTGTGCTGGGTTTGAGGTTTGATTAGGGAGGAGATAGTTGGTTTATTACACCTGCAGAATTGGTAGATGTTTCATCTTTGGATTTCAAAGAAAATGGATAAACTGTCCTGATCCCTATCCAATCCATGTCTTTCTGAAGTTTAGTGCTTTACAATGTCATGAGTAATTATTGGCATCATCTTCATCAAAGGAAGAAATTCTCCTATCAGCGTCCCATATTTGATTCTGTGCACAATAATTCCCTTTGCAGATTTGTCTGTAACATCATTATTGCATGGAACACAACAACACACCCACCTTGACATTCAAGTCAAAAGATAAACCATAATCAGAAACATTATTTATTTTGATATGCTAATGTGTGCTTGTGGAATTCCTGTCTGCATTGATACTCTTGTTCATCTTGTTAGATATACTATATGGCTTTAAAAAATATCAATGCAATGTTGATGTTGTTTTTAATAATTTAGCACCACATTATCATGTGATATAGCTTATCCAATGACTAACATACATTAACTATGTGGCATTGGTTAACTAGATGTGTGCAATAATAGACAAGGTGTTGGTGTCCGTTGGGTCAGATATGTTTCGCTTCTTCTTCGCCTCTCCATTTCCTCTCTCTCATTCCTTTGGTTTGGAGTATAGAGCCAAATCAGCACTTAAGCCAGATTCACACTATAGGACCATACTGTGCTGGCTTGGATATTTTATTTTCCAACACGGTTCCAGCAACTATGGTGGCTCGGCCCGGTATGGCTCAGTAGTGTGAAAAGCCTAACAGCCTGTTTAGAAAGCCATTAATCGACACATAAACCAGCACTTGATATGATGTCACCAGAGCACATAGCTATTGGCTAGCAGGTCATCAGTGTTCATCAGCTCACCCAATCAGCTCGCTCCTCATCGGACCTGTGGGTCCAAAGGTCATGCACAAACACAATAAAAGGATTGGTTGTTGTTTTGACCACTGAGTGTGTGCAAGTTATAGAAGGAGGAGAGTGTGTGAGAGTTATAGGAGGGGAGTGTGTGAGAGTTATAGGAGGGGAGTGTGTGAGAGTTATAGGAGGGGAGTGTGTGAGAGTTATAGGAGGGGAGTGTGTGAGAGTTATAGGAGGGTAGTATGTGAGAGTTATAGGAGGGGAGTGTGTGAGAGTTATAGGAGGGTAGTATGTGAGAGTTATAGGAGGGGAGTGTGTGAGAGTTATAGGAGGGGAGTGTGTGAGAGTTATAGGAGGGGAGTGTGTGAGAGTTATAGGAGGGGAGTGTGTGAGAGTTATAGGAGGGTAGTATGTGAGAGTTATAGGAGGGTAGTATGTGAGAGTTATAGGAGGGGAGTGTGTGAGAGTTATAGGAGGGGAGTGTGTGAGAGTTATAGGAGGGGAGTGTGTGAGAATTATAGGAGGGGAGTGTGTGAGAGTTATAGGAGGGGAGTGTGTGAGAGTTATAGGAGGGGAGTGTGTGAGAGTTATAGGAGGGTAGTATGTGAGAGTTATAGGAGGGTAGTATGTGAGAGTTATAGGAGGGGAGTGTGTGAGAGTTATAGGAGGGGAGAGTGTGAGAGTTATAGGAGGGGAGTGTGTGAGAGTTATAGGAGGGGAGTGTGTGAGAGTTATAGGAGGGTAGTATGTGAGAGTTATAGGAGGGGAGTGTGTGAGAGTTATAGGAGGGGAGTGTGTGAGAGTTATAGGAGGGTAGTATGTGAGAGTTATAGGAGGGGAGTGTGTGAGAGTTATAGGAGGGTAGTGTGTGAGGGACGATGAATGTTTTTGACCTGCTGTTGAAGAGGAAACAAGACAAAAGAAACTGCCCGAAACACTTTTTACACCAACAATACCACCAACAAATGGTGGTAGAAAGATTCATACAAAAAAATCTAAAATGTTCCTGTGTACAGCAACCAACCACACTAACAACGTGCTCCGTTCTTCTCTCACCTCTGTGTTAGTAGAGACCACTGTTGCAAGATTAGCCCATAGGTAACATCTAGAAAAAACACGAAAAGACTGGTAAGATGCCTCCCTACAGGGCAATGTTTTGTTTTCCTCTGTTTTGCACACTATTTACTTGGTGTGTGCTCAAAGATGTTATTGGAGAATGATATTAGGCGATGAGCTTGCTTACCGAGTCTACAGTACCTTTAGGTCTACTCTTAGAGTCCGCCCACTGTTCTCAGATGACTGGTCCGTAGAGTCCGCCCACTGTTCTCAGATGACTGGTCCTGATGCGATGCCACACACATTGGTTTTGTGTTGTGTAATGGACAGCCGTGTGTGGCTGATTATTATTTTGTATTTTTACCAACATAGAAATCTTGTGTCTTATTTAAATAAAGTTATTAGTATGTGAGTATGTGGTCCTCTGTAGCTCAACTGGTAGAGCACGGCGCTTGAAACGCCAAGGTAGTGGGTTCGAGCCCCGGGACCACCCATACACAAAAATGTATGCATGCATGACTGTAAGTCGCTTTGGATAAAAGCGTCTGCTAAATGGCATATTATTATTATTATTATTATTAGCAGAACCAAAGCACTTCCTCTGGAGTTGTGTGTGAATGACAAAATGAGGTCCACTTATAAAGTTTATTTCAAAGGTTTTACAAGTATACCTCATATACAGTACATACATTTTGTAAATGGATACACTATCAAACACTTTTATTTCTTTTCACAGCCAGATTGGGACTATGTATGTACAGTATATTATCTAGCCATCTTTGAGGGGTCGCTATGAAATAGCAGAGTGTTAGTAGAGCGCTCTCTAGTGATAGAAAGGGGTCACTAATGCACCATACCTGGCACCTGCACTCCAATAAATACCTTTCTGACACTGATGGTGAGTGTCTGGAAATGAAAGTAATACACTAATTATTTGAATTAGTGTATTAGTGTATTAGAGCACATAGCCCCCCCCCCTTAAACTGTGGTAATGAATCTTTTCCACCTTAATTACGTTTTACCGAGTGAGACACCCGCCGGCTTCACACATGACCTTAGAAGTAAGTTAGTGGTTGCATTCCCCTGCTCAGACCGTTGCATGGATCAACCAATGGTTGCGTGCCATGTCATAGTCTATGTCATCAACTGTGTCATCGACTGACAGATTGCTATAACATATGTGGTTAGCTGATACTTAAAATACCTACCCAGACGTTG